GAGCTGCCTCGACGACCTTCGGCTGACGGCCTCGCACGCTGTGCTCTGAACAACAAAATGCTGCAGACAAAGAGTTTGCAAGTTCCAGCACCTCAGAAGCAAGGGACTACACGAACAGTTTCGCAGGTAGAGATTCTTTATTAAACACCTATCACATCACCCGAAAATAAGGTGCACACGAAGGGGCGCCTTAAACAAAGCAGTACGTTGCTGGGTGCATTGTTTTAATGGAACAGGGAGAAAGCAAGCTCATCAGAGAAACGGGCATTACACCTTAGGTCACTAGAAATAAAAATGCAAAATCGCTGCCAGGACACCCCAAGAAAAATTAAACCTCGTGACAGTACCAAACCAACTGTACTTATTTACTAGGCGTCATCTGGTTAAACTACAGGGACTCTACAACAAAATCAAAAGCCACGGTGGTGCATGTTGTTCAGAGACTCAGCAGCAGCATTAGACACACAGGATGCCAAGTCAGTGTTCTCTGTAGCTCCAGCCTGTCTTACCAGCTGCTGCCATGTTTAGTTTTTTGGGGGTTCTGTTTTGTTTTTAATTAGGAATTTTAATGGACAAAAACAGTTTTGCATTTCTGCATTCGAAAGCTTAAAAAAAAATGCCTCTAACTTTACAGGGAACTAAGTCGTGTTAGTAGCTTAGATTCTTCCTCTCCAAGAAAAGTCTCCAGAGTTTGCAAGTTGGAATATCTATGAATCTGTAGGAAAAACTAGATACTACATTGTTGAATGAAACTAGGGGTTTCCTCCCCAATATAATGCAAGCCAACCACTTGGATTCCCTGCAAAAACCTCTCCTACCAGTAATGATCACCTAAATCAGGCATGCCTAAAAAGTTCTAGTCCAGAAAGCAAGCACCGACTATGCATTAAGAGTTGAAGGTAATTTCTACGTTATTTAGTAGAATTAGAAAAAAAAAAAAAAATCAGAACAGAATCACATATTAATGAATCATACACTTACAGTTGTCTTCAATACAAGTTGAACATAGTAGCAAAATGTCAGATGAAGGTCACCTTCAGCAGCAATTTTACAGACTTACAGCTCTGATATTTTAACACACTGTGCATCTAAGAAAAATAATCCATGGAAAAGAGATAGGTTGTATAAAGTGTATCTTCAAATGCAAGCTGATTTGCAATACATCCTGTTCCTTCCTACTGTGCAGTGCAGGAAGAAAGCACTCCTTGTGCTACCAGCGTGAATTACTAAGCTAAGACCAGCAGAGAAAGCAGCACGATACACGAAGGAATCGGGGTTGCAAGGTAAGGCTGCCGACAGGCTGGAAAAACAAGTTTTGCCATTAAAGTGTCAGTACAGCTTTGAACCAGGTGAATGCCAGCGAACTTCTGGCAGCTCCTTCACCGCAGCCGCACTCCCGTCCTCACTTCCCCTGCCGCTGCAAGGGAGCGTTGCTTTTTCGGGCCACATCTAAAGAGTCCACGACCTGACCGGAGAAAACCGCTTCCAGTCGCTCATCAATCTCCGTTTCTTCCCTGAACACGCACCAGAGCAAGAGCCCAGTGCACAGCAGACTGACAGGCAGCACCTTCGCCCACGGCCTCTCGTGGTCGCTCCCCATAGACCGGCTGACGCTCCACACCCGCGGACTGGCCTTGCTGGCGGAGAAGGGGATGGCCCCCCCGCC